GGCTTAATTTGCTGGTGCTAGTTTGCAAACGTGTGTATCATTAGATGTCTGTGTCCCTCAATTTCTTGTAGCATGACTGCTCTGTGCCATACAAGACAGGGAATCAGACACCTAGGCAAAGAATACAGTTTAGAAATTGAAAGGAGGGAGTTGCATTTATTCTAAATGCAACCAGCATAATAGCAGGAAAAAATGCTGCTTCTGTAGTTGCAAAATAGTAGAGTATGAAAACAATCAGAAAATAGGGTTGTAAATAATAGAAAATTACATGAAATATATAATAGTAAACAAAAGTGTAAGGAGAAGATGGTTTTTCATATGACATTTACTAAATCTTAGCACTAGTACTGAATAAAGGAATACCTGCTCTGTATTTGGGAAGAAAATTTTCCTACTCTGTCTAGTATCTACTAAAAGATGCAAGAAAGCAACTATAATCTTTTCAAGTCCATAATAATCTGGTAAAAGCTTGGCTGGCACTTCAGTTTTTATGCTCTTGAGACCCAGATTACACTAGTGAAAGCTTAATAACATGTTTTGAGCTGTGAGTTTGCTATTGGAGAAGAAAAAGCATTACTCTCTGCAGAGAAAAACACACAGCTGTATTTTGTAAGACAAGTTTGTCCACTACTGAAAATAATCAGTGATATTTTGCTTTCTAGTTGCTCTAACCCCTTGTACTGAGAAGACTGAATAGTTGAGTTTAAATATTTTTTCTGATAATTGGCTGGTTTAATTATTCATAACGAAGTAAACCAGCTCTGATGTGATATATAACCATTCCTTTAATTGCAAAAAATTAGTGATGTCTTCTGGCCTATCTTAGCTTGTACCTCTGTCCTTGAAACATACATACAAACAGAATGGTTTGGATTGGAAAGGGCCTTAAGATCATCTAATTCCAACCCCCCTGCCTTGGGCTGGGATGCCTCCCCTCAGACCAGGTTGCTCGAAGCTCCATCCAACCTGGCCTTTAACACTGCCAGGGATGAGACATCCACAGCTTCATTAGGCAACCCATTCCAGTGCCTCACCACCCTCACTGTAAAGAACTTCTTCCTTATATCTAATCTAAACGTCCCCTGTTTAAGTTTAAAGTCATTACCCCTTGTCCTACCACTACAGTCCCTAACGACGAGTCCCTCCCCAGCATCCTTAACAGGCCCCCTTCAGATACTGCAAGGCTGCTCTGAGGTCTCCACGCAGCCTTGTCTTCTCCAGGCTGAACAGCCCCAACTTTCTCAGCCTGTCTTCAGACGGGAGGGGCTCCAGTGCTCTTATCATCCTTGTGGCCCTCCTCTGGACTTGCTCCAACAGCGCCATATCAAACCCCCAAATGCCGTTGTCTTTAGCAACTTGTTTATCCAGGAGCCTTGTGATTCTCCACAAGATCACGCTGCAAAACGCTTCTGGTATTGGAGCAGCAGAGAAAATGCTGTGTGTCTGTGCACACAAGGGGGAGACTCATGTATCCAGACTGTAAGTAAGTACTTGGTATGTTACTATCTTTTGCTGCTGAAGCATTCTTATGTGCAAAATAGTTAATATTAATTACTCTTTGCTTTGTTTTTTGTAATTGTCCCCTATTAGCTTTTTCTGAGTCACACAGGCAGACATCCTCTCCGATGTACATAGGGACCTAATCTTTGCTGTGCCTCTCATGATGGACACCTACTCTGAGGCAGACTTGCCTTCAGTTTAATGCCTGCAAACAGTTTATCTTTTGAACATTTGACAGGACAAACAAAGGAAAACAAAGTCAAGCATCATTTCCCATTAGGAAGTAAACTATTGTTTGATAGGATGGAGCACAAGGTTCCCAGAGTCATACTACACATACAGGAATGCTGTACACAGGGTTATGTTGAAAATTAGGGATTTAGTGAAATATACTTGCTCTTTTTTTTGTTTTCTAAACTCACATGTCTCCTGAAGCGTGCTCCCCTGTCTGCATAGCATGGCTGTCGCTGTGTGTTGAACCAAAGCACTGCGGTCGAGGTGGATGGCCTGTCGGCAGCTTCAGCCGCGGTAGAAGATCCGGGCTCCTGACCTGTGCGGTGAGACCTGGCAGCACTGGGGATGGGTGGGGAGAATTCCAAGAGCAGTGGAAGAAGAGCAGATGGATGTTCTGGCATCAGGGAATGAAGCACAGTATAAAGAAAAGTAAGGAGTCCAGAACATCTGAGAGTGTTCCTGGAGGGGTAGTGTTAATATCTACTATTACGCTGGGGGTTCAGTGTTTAGAGAATCAGAACTAACACACAGCTAGTCCTCTTTCCTAGTGTTTTTTCTTGGTTATCTCTTCATCAGGCCACTTACTGGGAAAAGGGGAGGTCAGGCTGTAGTGTCCCCCCTCCTAGAGACACGTGCTGGAGTACTCGCACATGGTCATATGCTGCCACGCAGCTGGGCAGCTGCTGCCTGCAGTTGGCTGTGATGCTCTGACCCTTTGCTTCTTTTAGGTGAGCACCTGAACATCAAATAGTGACTGAGGACTGGAGAAAATGAAGTCTTGCATAGGAGCGGCACAGGTTAGGCTGAAAAGCCTGAGGAAGAATGGTTCCATGAAAATTATCCCTAGAACCAGTAATTTCTCATTTTGGTTGGATTGGCAACTTGAACTGACTGAGTGACTCTGTGAGTGCTGTAGCAGAGCATACCTGCCTGCCTTTGCATGTGACAGCCAGCACCCAGGAGGCCAGAGTGGAGGTTTTACTTTAAGGCATAACCTTTCTCATGGGTTGTAACAAACACTTCAGGTTACATGAGTAAGTGCTGGTGTAAAGGGTTGTCAAATTATGCTCTTTAATACAAGTGAGGCATTGAGTGTTGTCCTGAAGAGAACAAAAAACAAATCCAACAACATGACTTACTTAGGTGACATAATTAAAATCTATCCTGTATGCATCCAGGGACTTCACACCATGCAGTCACTTTTAATCAAGCTCTGGTGTTTGCCTAACCTAAGAAATATATTCACTAAATAGTTGCTTGTGGAACTATTCCCAAAGCTCAGTTTTGCTGAGTGTTGAAAGCTTACAACAGCGCTTATGACAGTGTGATTCTGCACTCAAAGTCTTTAAGATTAAAAATAAATTGTAATAACCCTGCACTGAAATGCTCCTCAGCACAGGTGCATGTTTTTTCTCCCCTCTTTTTTTTATATGGAAGAAAGGTATAAAAAGCCATCTTGCTGGCTTTCAGACCTGGGCCTGGTGAACACTACGTTGAACACCACCAAGTTGAGCAACCTATTTGTGGCCCTTACCACAAATAGGTTAATGATTTCCTGGGCTGCATCAGGAGGCAGAGGGAGACGATCCTGACTTCAGAACCTTTCTTTAAAGCTCTCAAGGATAGCAGGTAGCATCTACATAGCTAATACTTACAGGAAGTTTCATTAAGGGTAGCAGAACTGTAACCACATTAAAGGAGTGATTAATGGATGCCAGCCATCACCATCCATTGTCAAGGTTACCTGGGCCATGCAGGGTCATGTAGCCAGGAAAGCAAGTCTACAACCATTACATTACTTAACTATATGGGGTGCAAATCATTGTTGAAGAGCTGCTGGTTCCTTACCAAATCCAGTGGCTACCATGGTGCTTAGGAAAGTACAGCATGTAGCAGTGTTCTGAATAAACAGGAGTAAGAATGGCTGTCGTTAGCTCCACACCTGAGCATTACTACAGCCATAGCAGGAAGAAAAAAAAAAAAAAAAAAAAAAAAATAAACCCCTGTATTGAAAAATCCACCAATGGGTAAGGTTGTAGTTTCTGCTCCTGAGGGAATAACTATTTTCCTTCTCTTGCACAGCCTAGTAACAGCCCAGCTATCCTATTTAAAAAAAAGTGCTAACTCAACCCATTGCCTCACAGTGGCCTCACATGGACTGCTTGTATGCTGCTCATTCCATTCCCCATTACACTTTCAAATTGATTCATCTCTACGCACAGGAAACTTCTAGAAATAATAGATAAAACCATGATTTATTACACTGTACAAAACTAGATTCAGAACAAGCAAGTGCAGAATATAGTACATGATTTATTTTTTCTGTAAATTACATATTATTTATTAAGTTTCATTGACAAACCCAAAACTTCCCTAATTTTATCTTTACCTGCCTAGAGCCAAGCAATTAATTTTGTTCTACAGGATACAAGAAGATAGCTTCCTGGAGAATTTATCATCTGATTAACTTGGCCAAAGGTGCTTCAGCTCAGACTGACACTCAGGGTTTCCCAGAGCTTGTAAAGACTTGTCAGGTTAGAACCTCTGGTGGTAGTAGTAGAATGTCCTGCCAGGGTACCAGTCTAGAAACAAGCAACTCCATTCTCAGTAAATTTCAGTAATGTCTTCTTCTTAGAAGATGAATTAATGCAGTTGCATTTGTAGACAAACAATATAAATGAAGGCTGTAGCTACCATCCAAAAAAAAAAAAATCACTTTGCAGTAGCCCCAGATCTCGAGTTACACAGGGTGTGCTGAGATAGGTTATATGTTTATTAAAGTCCTTAAGAAAAATAAATGCTTTTGCATAATGTATGTACAAAGACTGGTTGATTTCCTTCATTCATACGTCCAGCAACAGGTACAACCACAGCTATATTTCATTCACTAGCTTACAATGATTAATGCCACCTTGGTAACTGATACATTAAGAATCCAAGAGAATATTGGCGTATTCTTTAATATAGTGCAAATTACATGGAGGTGTTTTGAAAACAGTGGCTTAAAGAAAGATTAACAAAAACCTCCTCCTTTGGTCCCTGTGAAAGTAGTTCAGCTCTTCCATATAATTTTCAAAACTCCCCCACATAATTTTAATCAACTATTAAGGCGCCAAAAGAATGGATTTAAAGTTAAGATTAAAATGGTCTTTCTTGGACTTGAAAAGAAGTCCACTGCAGATTTCCTGACAAAGAAATTTATTTAATGTGTCTCCTTCTCCTCAGCTCTTTTCTACCCAAAAACAATACCCCAAATAAATCTGTCTGATAATCTCCCCCCACATCTTTTTTTGTTTTAAACTACAACAGAACATTACACTTAAATATATTGCACAAAAAGCGTAACGCGTCCTGCCTGACTCTTCACAACAATGGCCACAAACACAGGAGAACAGCTACCAAACAGCTCAGAATTTGAAGAGATCAATGAAATGCTGAGGAGATACTGGCATGAGACAGGTGTCTGGATCACTGGCTGTGCAGGGGTGTCCCGTATCCTGCAGAATGAAGGAGAAAAAAAAAGTAAATTCTCTTTCCACACCCACAATCCCCCTCCACTCCCAACTAAAGAAAAAAAGGCAAAAATTCAGATATAGGCAGTTTGGAAACAAACTAATAGAAACTTGCTCTTTTTAAGAATTCACCATATTTGTCTTTAACTGTTTTAGACTAAGTTGTCAAGAAAACAGGCCTTTCCAGTTTGACTGTGGTAGTCAAAAAAAACCCCAACCCCTCTCATCCTACCAGAACCTGAGTCAGAGCACTTGGAAAAACCTTTCTCATTCCCTATCCATTATTTTTTGGCTTTGAAAAAAGAAAGAAAGAAAAGAAAAAAAAAAGGCACAGCTGCTTTGTTGAACTCAAATTATCTGTTTAATGAAAATCTGCAATTAACTGCTGCTTCAGGGGGAAAATGAGCTCTGTGCTTTCAAAGTGAAGAGCAGCAGATGCTTCCCAAAAGAACTCCTGAGTGGCATTTTTGAAATCCCAGTCATGTAAGTTCTGGCTTGCTTGTTTCCTCCCCCCCAACATCTTTCTCCTGTTTCACTTCTACCTTTTTCCCACCTGAAAGCATTGCCTTAAAACAGGTGTTAGCACCCAGGCAGGTTGGGAATACAGAAGACAGACAGGATGGAAAGGCTTTACCATTACAAGTTCACTAAGCCTGCAGTGCTGCTTTAATATTACAGGAACTTTAACTCAAGCACAATTGTCCGATTATTTAAGATTCAAATTCCCCATCAAATGAAAAGTTCAGTTTTGTACATTATTAGAAAGGACCCTCTAAAGGAAGGAAATGCTAGAGGTGTAATAAGAAGAGGGTCCCACACAGTTCAGTGCAGCGGTTGAATGCCTGAATCAGTAATGTTAACAAAGCTCAGGAACTGTCCTCCCTGTTCAATTCCTGAGCCTTACAACAACCCCTTTTAAGGGGTTTCTCTCCCTTTTCCACCAGTATTGATGAATTCACCATGTGGGGCAAGAAGACTAGAGTAAATACATGGCAAGTAGATCACAGACCACTGCAGTCTTCATTTCTTTCATTTCCACAGGAAATTAAGTTACATGCAATTCAGTTAATAAAAGAACCTGTAAGTGAAATCATTTTCTCACTTGGAAACTTACATAAAGAAAGTGCTGTCAAAGATGTCACATTCCTATCCAAAGTCTTTGCAACACCGAAGAGCACTAGGTGAAACACATTCTAGATACTACTCAGCTTTTGAATAGCTATATTACCTGCATTGTGCTATTAAGTCTATAGATGACTACATGAAAATATCATGTGGTATCACCTCCTTATCCTCCCACTTTTTAACCTAATTGCTTTAACATCGCCTGAGAACCAACCGTTAGATTCATGACAGAGAGAAAAACAAGCAAACGAGAACAGACAAACAGATTAAACCCCAGGTAGAACTGCTTTTTTGGGGAAGTTGCAGATGAGAAAGAACAGAAGACTAAGACCAGAAGTGTGAAGCCTGACACCTTCATCTTGAGATGACTTCTGCAAGGAAGATTCACCATAGCAGAAAACATGCTCAAATGTTGTTGCTTATGAACTATCTATTGTCTTCTCTACCATTGCCATGTCAATGTCATTACTTTCCTAGTTTCCAGGGAAAAACACTATCAGAATTAGGATTCTGGGAAAGAAGCTAGAGTTTATCCCCTTTAAGTGCTTGCTTATACTCCTAAATATTTTAGACAGAATTTGTAACATGCTATCTGCTTCATTCTGCACATCATCATAAAAGCACTTCTGAAAGCTATACTCAGTCAGGAATTACAGGTCCAGTAAAAATAAGATCAGTTCTTTGGGGGGTTTAGTTATCAAAAACAACAGCACTTTTACAGTGAAAAAAAAGTGATAAGGACTGAAAAGAAGCAGCACAACTTTCCTGTAACTATGACTATTCCTCCTTCCAAGAAAAATGTTATTTCCCGTGAAATTACATTTAATAAATAGTGTTCAGATCATATTGATTTTCAGTGTACCTACTTAAAGCTAAAATGGAATTCCTCTAAATTAACAAGAGCATGCACCAGGAGTGTTTACTGGTAAATGTAGTTGTTTTCCTCCTCAAATTTTATCATAACTGGATATTAAGAAGCTCCCATAACAACTTTGGAGCTATAGCCCTTTGCTGTGTAATCATTTCCACCATTTCTTCATTCATAAAGCAACGTTATAATTGCTTCTCCCCACTCTCCCAAGTCGTATGCAGCCTGTTTGGGGAGTTGTTTTCCTAAAAGTATATAGGTCTACAGCATTCCAAATGGAATAAAATCAATTTTAGTACCTTTGCATTAAAGGGGGGGAAAAAAAAAAAAAAAAAAGAAAAAAGTTATCTTAGGTTCATGTTACTCTTTTGAGATGTAAATACTGAATGAAATACATTAGGGAGTACAGAGAGAATTTTTAACACTGAGTGCAGATAAACTGATTTCTCAGCAAAATCTGGCTGATCTCACTGACACTGTGCACATGTATTCATTGCAAGTTGAATTATGGTCCCTAGTTTAAATGGCATTAACAGCGAATACGGCAATAACAAAAAAACCCTAAATCTGATGAAGAACTGAGATGGGAAGTCAGTGTTAATGTATCTAATAGGGAAACAAGGAACAAAGTATTTCTGCTGCTAAACCAACATGGAGAAACAAAAATCGAGACAGAGCATAAACAATGAGAAATGGACACGTTATTCACTTGGACATGACAGAACAGTCAGCAATGAAAACAGATGAGACACACAGGAAATACCTTGAGTAACAAAGCAAGGTGGTAGTCCTTTGAGATCGTGAACAAGGAAGCAGGAAGGAGAGCCGTAAAGTAAAAGAAGTAGAGTTAAAGTTTATTGAAGCTAATGTTCATATGCCATTTAGAAACATAGTTTTCTATTCCTGTGGCAAACCACAAGCAGCTGGAGAACCAAAACCAGCATAAGCCCCAGGAAGACTAAAACCAAGTGTGAAGCATCTCACTTATGCAAAACAATCCCACTACTGACATAAAGCCCTGGATACTGAATGAAGAAAAGGTATTTCAGTGTCTGTGGTCATCTCTGGGATAACAGAAATGTGCTACTGAGGGAGCTAAGAAAATAAAAAGAACTGCCCATAATTGCAATGTTGCCTAGTAGAATAGAAGAAATACTACACACAGAAAGCATTCACAGAGGCATCAGTCAATAATCAGTCTGCCATTACTTTCACACTACTGAAATTACATATTTTCCCTTAATTTCATCACAGACAAATCCTTTACCAAGAAGTTACTTCTGAAAGATACTAATTTAATGTGAAGAGTTTCTTAAAATCATTCCCTCCTTTAACATGGAAGAGAACAAGATGCTCTATTACATCATTTTATTTCCCACAGTGAATTCAGGAGTGTCCTTATTGTATTTAACATTACTGTGGTCACAGGTTTTAAACAAATACAGGAATAGAAATGCCACTTCCTGAAAATCTCTTGAAGACTTGTTAAGAGTAAGATTATTAAAGCCAATCGGAAAGTGAAAACTCATTTCCCTACTTCAGCTGTGTGCTAATTCAGTTCAGTAGCCATCAGTCCCTTCTTTTGCAAGGCCTTCTTTAAAGGGACACAAAACGCAGGACTGAAAATTTCCTGTGTGCAGCCCTCTCATGTCGCCAGCAATTACATTATCCGTTTCATAAACCTATGAGAAGGCTTCTCATCACCAGCGAGGCCTGTGCTTTGTGGCTGTTTCAGAACCTTGCTGCTCAGAAACTCTTCACTCTCAGCCTAAGCTTACCCACTATTTTCTATAACTTATGTGCACCAAGGAAGCCCATTAGCTTAAATAATTTCCCTAAGTAGTCTCATGTTTATGCATCACTTCTCTGAGAATAATTTACAGAGAGCAGTCACATTCCTTATTAGCACTAAAACCAGCTAATTACTTTTAACCTCTGCTAGTCTTCTCCATGCCCTGATCCCTTAAGTGCTTTTTCCTTTGCAACTACTCCGATGTTTTGCTTTGTTCTTGAAGGGGGGGAAGTGTTCAGCTCTCTGAAGTTCTTCTGAAATGCCCCTGAAAGCAAAAGTTGCCTGATTTCTGAAGTGTGCCATTAAAAGAAGAAACTGGTTTTTTACATATCACAAACTACCTGACGAATCCAGTGCTTCCATTTGTTTAAAGACTCAAACACTTGCTAGTTTTCCTGTGTAGAGTAACTGATTTCTCTTTCAAAGTTTGTTTTCCTTTTTTTTTGTTTTCCTATACACCAATGGAATTAGGCAGAGTAAAATCTTCAGTTGAGAGCAAAAATCTGTACATTATAGGTATGATTGTATGTCAACCACTCATACGTATTTAATAATCTGTCTAATCAAGTATAATACTGAAGCTTGAATGAATTGCCAAAGCTTTTCTGATTAAGAAATATTTTCACCCAGCACAGAATATTTCTAGAACTAATCAAGTACCTTCTGTCCCACTGCCCCTCACCACCTGCTTTGCTTCTCATTTCTCTTTAGAAAGCTTGGGAAAAGATTCAGATGCAAGTGCCTGAAAAAGCAGAACTATTCCCTCCCCCTCCATCACTTGGAGTGGCAAACACTACTGTCTTACATTGCCCTGTAAATAGACTGTTTTTCAGACCCACTATTAGCCTCTTTGTGGCCCTGCCAGTGGGACTGGGGACCCCCAGTTGGATACAGTATCCCAGATGCAGTCTAGTTAAGTACCAAGTGAACAGGGATAATCACTTTCCTCAGCCTTCTGACTGTACTCTTCTTAAAGCAGCCAATCCTAAACTCCTGCTACATAATTTTAATGACCTGTCCAAATCTCCAGGATGAAGCAGTCACCACTGCAATGGTGATCTAGTAGGTATTGCTCACCAATCCAAACAAGTACCTTTAGAGCTTACTGTGTTGTGTTTCACTAAAAATATAAAACCACAAAATTAATGCTATTATTCCAGTAGTAGATTGGAGTAGTCAAGGTAACAAGACACCTGCCTGTACAGGTTCACTGCCTCTTACTGGCACATACCACCTCCAAAATTAAACATTTAATGCCAAACGCATTTTAGTCATTCCTAATACTAAAGTGCTATTATACCAAATTTATATTATACCAAAATTAGAATGAAATTTACTCTGGAAAGCATTATCCCCTTACACAGCAAAGCCAGATGAGCCAAACAAATCTGATACCAGAAATGCTCACCCGCATGCATGCTCTGTTCTAATCTTTCCACTTTCAAAGAGAAAACTTTATGTGTTTAGCAACATGTTAAAGACTCATTTCATTGTCATCAACAGTTCTTAGTCATCCTTGACACAGGTTCTTCAGCAAATGCCCAGGCCTTTCACAGCAGAAGCCAATTCCAACTACCTACCTTCCTACTATTAATTTAGCAAGACATATTAGTACCTGGAAGGGCTCCTATGATATCAAGAACACTCAATTTTAAGATAATGTCATCCAGTAACATGCTGCTTCTATGAGAGCTAGCTCATCCTGTTAAATTGCCTAGGTTTTTTCCTATGGAAAATAAAAAAGCCTCACGCTGCCACAGCAACTCCTCCTAGAAATCACAGAAAGACAATACAAGAACAACTCACTTCTATCAATTAAAATAAGATTTCTCAAATGTTTCTTGCTCTTTGCTGTCCACTTAGCACTACCCAGATCAGGTCTTTGAGCTGTAAAATTAAAGAAGTCTGACTACCTAGGAGGCTAGATTATGGTGCAACACAAAGTAAAAGCAGGACTACGTGTTCACACACAGCTAAACATGAAAATGCCTTAGAGAAATTAAGATCATTCCATAAAACAGAACATGCTTCATGGTAAACATCAAAATCACTGTAAAATGCACTTTGAATGGAGTTTCAAACATTCCTCTAGGCTTCATAAGGGACAGAAACGAGACTAGAGAAATAGTTTTACACCAATGTGGTAGGAGTAGCATAGTAGTGAGTTCTCATTAGAGACATAAGGATTGCAATGCCATCATTAGAAAAGGGATGTCATAAAATTGCTAACTTCATGCAAGTTCCCAACAACTTTGTGTCAGGTTAATCAGATACAAGAAGACACTGAGCACAACTCTTTCCGCGTGGCACTTTTCCTTGCAGTTCTAAGTACTGAGGTTATCAGATACCAAGAGATAAGAATGCTAGATAAAGAACAACTTTGGAATTTAATACTGATTTTATATGGAAGTTTTATGTATTATTTAGAAGTTAGATATTAGTTGTCTGATCACATTTCAATGAGAAAGCTGACAAGATGATCTTAGTACTTCTCCTTTCAGATGAGTACCAGTAGCTGTTTGAACTTATTTCTGACTGTCTATTTCAAAGCTCTTACCTTCCAAAACAGAATACTACAGTGTCGACAGAAATGCAAGGTGTCCCCATACTGTTCCTTTATTGGGTAATATTTCTGAAGTGCAAAGTACATCAGCTTCCAGTCAATGTGACCTTCCTCTGACGGAATCAAATGCCTACAAAACTAGACATAAAATTAATATATTTTTTTATATCATTAAAAAAAAAGTCATATCAGGTAAAGGTCTGTGAAAAAGGTAGTTAAACTGGAGTTTTGTAACTCTAGGATTCTTTGAAGTCAGTGATCTGACATCATACATCTGCAAAGCAGTGAGAGAGACCTAGCCACAAAAAAAAAAAAAAAAAAAATGTAAGGTAAACCACTAAGAAGAGGAGGGTGCAGGATGTATATTTGCCAAGAAAAATGGCCCTACACAGTTGATCAACTCCACTGTCTTGAAATGATTCTAATTATAGTCAAGAACCATATAACAAAACCAGTATTTAGAGCTGGTAATTAGTTTTGTATTAAAAAAAAAACAAAACAAAACCACCCCACAGCCAGTCAGGAGTGAGATTTCAAATAATGATTGTGCATTACAAACAGCAGTTTTCTGCCAAGACACTAACCAGGGATTTAAATAATGCTTTTTCTTTCATATTAAAGCATTTTTCATATTTACTTATGATCTTTCTAGAAGGATAACAGTGATACATGTACTTCAAGGACGTAATCTACATGTAAAGATACATAATCGAGGTATTTCCTCCCAGCTTAATACACAGCCAAGGTTTACTAAGTATGTATTTGTAAAAGGCTTCTGTTCCACTTGCTGTGGATTAATGCTCATACGTTAAAGGCTTTCTTTTTTTCAGAAGACAACTCCTAGATGGGGATAATAGCACTGACTTTCTGATTTCAGCTACACTTTGTTTCATAATAGCTTCCCTGAGTAGAGTTCTCCTTTCTTCCCCCCCAAAAGTGCTCTTCAGCTATTAAGCATGGTTTTGTGGTTGTTTCAATAGTTCAACAATATACTGCAGAGGACAGGAAAAAACAGCCTACCATGATTCTGTAGCTCATTATGGTAGCACACTTTTACACAGAAAAGGCAGAATTTTGCATTGGAAAATAAATAAAATCATTAGATGTCTATCATTAATAACCTAATAAGAAATGGGAGTATGGATATTTACAAAAACATTGAAAACACCATATACAAGTGCCGTTTATAAGGCACAAGGCTAGCTACTTCTATTGAAATGCTTAAATTATCTTTTCCCCAGCCTTACCTGAGTATATCAGCTACCTCTCCAACCAGTTTTGTCACTGTTCAAAAGCCTTACCTCATCTAACCTCAAAATCTACTCAGTTGCTACATCAAGCTTAAACTTCTTGTTCTCGTAACTTCACTTTGCATTCTTCTGAGCTGCTTCTGAAGGAAGGTTTTTCACTTTGCCTTTGTCCGTCTCTATTGTCCATGAAGTTCATTCCAAAGCTTTTGACCTCACCAAAATTCTTATTTGGGTCAACTGCACATTATGTTAATTGATATTCACTTCCACCTTTCCTGTTACAGTAACACTTAATCGGGTGGTCACTGACCAAATGGTACCACTTCAACCTGTCCGATTCAAGAATGTGTATTTTCCACTTCCTCCTGGCTGGAATGTACTAGGTTTTTGAAGTCCTTCCTCCAGCTCTGATGAGGAACTGATGATTAACTCACCAGTTATCTCAACCAACATAAGACAGCTCAGATAGAAATGTCATGCTGGAGAGAACAAACACAACAACTGCAGTGTCTCAAAACTGTCTATGCTGTGGTCTGATTTTGCCCCAGCATATATTACCATGAGAAAATGAAAATGGTTTTGGAGGCATTCCTAGATGACTTTAATGCTTTTTATGAAGTGGCAGAAAAGTACCATTTTTTAATCTTAATTTCAAAATCTCAAGCGTTTGTTCTACTCTTTTATGCAAAAATCCCATTTTGGCTTCACCGGACTGTTTGCCTAAAAGTTTGAGCAATCTGACTGCCTACCTTGGTTAGTAAACAAGTTCTACTTTAGGTACTAAAAAAGAAACACCTTAGAGATATCCTCTACTGCACCTGTTGGGGACTGTGTGGTTTAGAACAAAACATCTTGCAGTAGACAATTTTTTAAATAACGCAAAGAAACAGCCTGACAGTTATCCTCAACTCACAGACATGCTGAACACAGTAAGAACCAAGGCCCTAAAAGAGAACATTTTCACTATTACTGCACACTGTTTCATTTTTATCTCAAAAAGTGCAAGTTCACACTTTATTATTAGTATACCATATTGCAAAGGCAAGGGCCACATTTATGCGTTTTGAGAGAGTTTATTACCTGCTTTTCTGCAAAGTGGTACTGGCAGAGTTTTTTCCATAACTGTCTGTCTTCACTGAGCATGTACAAAGTTGGGGTCACTTGACCCAGAGTAATAACGTCCCAGCCATCAGAGAGCCTGTGTAAGATGTTTCTCAGCATATGAAGAGGGAGATCGATAAGTGTAAGACCATTGTTGACTTGCTGGAAATAAGAGTTGAAGACTTTTCACTACAAAAACTTCACAGTGTAAGGTACAAATAAGATCCTTACTGTACAGGTATCTCAGGTTTTACTTAAGTTTGTACATGTTGTGGTTTAAGCCAAAACCACTGAGCCTTATCTATGGTTAATTCTGTGATACTTTGATCACTTGGCTAACGTTATTCTCTAACTGCTGTTGCTGAAAACTTAAATGACTCCAGGTACAGAAGAGCTAGAGACGCAGTTCTATAACTAACAGATTTTCTACTGTTAAAATAAACATATATTAAAGTATTACATTTCAAATAATTTTAAAACACTTCTCAATAATTCAAGAGTATAAGGTCTCGAAAACTATGACATATTCAATCTGACTTTTGAGAAGTATGCTAAAACCCTAGCTATAATAAAGGTATGCACCAATCATTTATAACTTGTAGGATAACTACAGTTTGTCAATTTCTATTATGAAACAGAGCACATGTCAATTTGCCTTAAGACAACTAGAAAATTTAGTACAAAGCAACCTGGTCTACTGTAAGGTGTCCGTGCCCATGGCAGGGGGGTTGGAACTAGATGATCTTTAGGATCCCTTCCAACCCAAACCATTCTAGGATTCTATATAGGGCTGAAGAACAGAAATACAGAACAAAAATACCATGAAAGTCACATGCAGACAAGTCTGAAGATAGTTCCCCTCACATAAATGGGGAATTCTGTGGGGGGGTGTGATAGGTCAGAGCTCTGAGGAAGTTTTCATTGAGAATATATGCCTCTGCTGGACTTTCTCTTTAACGGTGTAACCTACAGCACAACTCCTGCATCACTGAATCTGAAGCCTATGCTGCCAGGAGGCACAAAGCCCAGCAGGGCTGGAGGCAGTGTGGGCAGCTGCCAGCCACACCCAGCAAAGCTGCCCCATCCCAAGGCACTGGCAGCTCAGCAACTGTACTCCAGGAGGCCCTCACTTCCATCAGTTTATTTCACAACTATTCATCTTGCTTATAGACTAGACTTTCCATTGTGTCATTCATCTGTTATGCACATCTCTGGGACTGTCGTTCTCTTCAGGAATATGTAAGCATTACAGATACAAGGCTTCTCATCGGTTATTTCAACCAACGTAAGACAGCTCGGATGGAAGTGTCATGCTGACAAGAAACAAACACAGCAACTACAGTGTCTCAAAACTGTCTATGCTGTCATTGCTTGGCATATGAAAACTGTTGAGATTGGGGTCCCCATTTCTCCTTTCTATTCCGAAATCAGCTGTTTTATTCAGATACCTGGCACACACAGCAAGGGCAATTTCAAAGTTTCATAGCTGAAAGCAAGCAGACCAAAGAGCTGTATGACTTTACTGTGAGCAGTATCTTGCACCATTTCTTCCTCCAGTAGTAACCCAGATAGGTTAAAAAAAAAAAAAAAAAAAAAAAAAAAAAATTGCCTGCTTATCATCAGAAGTTTCCATTATAAAAACCTGGAACAGTGCATGCCACATGCACTGAACAGTTGCATGATCAGACTCCAGATGCTGACGCCATTAGTCCATTTTTACAAAAAGCAAAAGCTGTTAAATTGGCATTTGAATATTTTCTTTCTGATTTTTTGATTCACCTCTAACATTCCTTTTAGATTTCTTATTAGTAGAACGTTTACTTAGGAATTAAAAAATCAGTATTTTTTCCTCTGTGTTTTCTCTACTAACAAGTAGTAGATAAACCATAGACAAACATTTTGAAATTCATTTGGGTGAAAAAAAACAATGATATCTACAACCACAAACCAACACTACAGCAGCAGCCCTCATTAGAAAAGAGCTATTAGAACATTAAAAAATGAAGTTGATTCCATTTCAGTAATTTCATATTACTTCTGTAAAGCCATATAAAACAAGTGAAACTTTGGTTTATGATTTGTGAGTGAACAATGTTCAGTATAATTCCCCTCCTCCAGTTACTTTTCTGGCATGATTTAATAACATACCTTGTTCATCTGAAGGTTTTTTAGTTGTTGTTGCCACAGAAGGATAGTTTCTAATCGGCAAATCCAAATATTGATGTTCCCTACCAACACAGATTTTCCCACTCCTCTAATCAGTATACAGAGAGTAGAGCTCAGATCCTGTAGAAGGTCTTTGATTAACCGTGGATTATATTGGTCTTCCATGACTGGAAAATGAAACAAAACAATTTTGTTTAACTGAGTTAACCCAGCTAATACAGTTAGCTCAAGTTAATCAACGCTTTTTTTTTTTAAGAGGAAATCTTATCTGTTTGTGTACAAACAGCTGCCCTAACTCCAACCATGACATTCATTAATGCTGATCCAATAATTTACATTTCATGCTATGCATTTAATAAACTTAATGCTGAACAACTACTTACAAATCTGATTTCATCTTTTAAAGCTGGTAATATTACATCTCCATTTAGTGTGGTTATCAGAAATTTTTCAATATTATGTAATAGCTGGGTTTTTTTTAAACAAACAATAAAGAAAAGCAGTTATGTACTTTAAATCTCAGTGCATCAAGCAAACTGGAAAAAAAAACACCCCATGTTACTAATCTAAAAGTTTTCACATTTCATAAAGAATATAATTTAATTGCAACCAATAGTTTCTGAAAAGAATCTGATTGTCATTTAACTGCAGCAATCTGTTTCAACAGACATGATTTGATGATCAAGAAAAGACAACTTAATGCAACTGTGGGATGGGAAGTCTGAAACTTCTCACTAAATAAATATTGCCATTTCTTTGTCTTACAATGTAAAAATAGTAATAAAGTAAGAAAAAAAAGAAAATGAACTGATGGCTTAGTCACAGTGATTAAATCTGAACAACCAGGTAACAAAACCTTAGGTCTTACCCTTCCGCACAATTTTGTCCAAAATGTTAAAGTAGTTCTTCTGTGCTGCACCGCTTAGTGAGGTTAACTGGGATTTTGCAATTAACTGCAAAAGCTAGGACAAAGAATTCAGACTCAGATGAACGACAGAAGTAAAGGAGGTTTCCAAAACACACTTTCAGTATGTACATTCACCTACAACAGCTTGGAGCTCTGCAACCCTATTTTGTGAAAACATAACTACAGAGATCAGAAAATGAAGTAAGAGAAACATGTGGAAAGCTTTAGGCATTCCCACTGGCAGCCCATTAACAACTCATGAAGAGATGTACATTTTCAAAATGTTCAAATACGAACACTAGTGTTTATTTCTGTGCTACAGCACACGACATATGGTCTTTATAAGCTGTAATGAAACAATGGAGGGAGTTTGTTCTGGAGGCTCACAATAGAAATGTGGTCTTTGATGCAGCTGGGTCTGGAACTCCCTAACAGATTGGGTGGCCAGGAGCATCACTTCGAACAGGTACCAGCTACCAGACTTCAACTTCAGAGTGAAACTATCGTATGGTCAAACTGAGGTGTGATGGACTTAGTGCAATACCTTCTGCTAATGGAGAGGAAATGCTGTATTTTACCTACACTGGGAAAAAAGTTCTGTATTACTCCCACATTCAGGTCCCTAGCAGAAGAAACCACTGTAATCTAATAATGAGCAGTATATGTACTGTATTAGTAACCGTCCCTTAACTATATAGTAAGGATCTCCTAGCTGCCCACACATTTCTCTCTGAAAACACTGTGACCAGAAAAATAGTGAGAGCAGCGGGAATGGTATAGAGGCAAATAACCAGAATAGCTTAAGTTCTTGCTGCATGTGAATCATAGATTTATAGACTGGTTTGGGTTGGAAATATCATCTAGTTCCAACCCCCCTGCCATGGGCAGGGACACCTTTCCACTAGACCAGGTTGCTCACAGCCTGTGTCCAACCTGGCCTTGAACACTGCTGTGGCTTTGAACCCGCCCGGGGATGGGCCAGCCACAACTTTCAAGCTGTATCTACTGGAGGCAGCCCTTGCTCCATTCAGACACCTTTGCTTTTTACATTTTAGATTCAGTTTTGTAGCTGATAAGGACTGTTCAGAAGTGTGGCACTGAGCTTTACAATTGCTATTCAGAATGCTGAGCTCATAACAAGTGTTCTCAATATATCAGAAAGGGAAAGCAGGGAGCAGAAAACAGCATCCCCTACAGAGTGCTCAAAACACTAACCTGCAGATCTGTGTTTTACAGCATCAACTACTGGCACAGAGGGTAGAAAAAGATGAAGCCTGCTGAAAGTTATGTTGTATCTTCATTTCTAAAACACTGCTTTGACAGTACACTCAACATTAATTTTCTTTTGGAGGAAGAGAGAATACACCTGTTCTCTCCCTGATTTAATAACATTCCTTCTGGCTTCCCTGCATGATCCCTGACAAAACATTACGCACTATGAAAGGAGGGAATAATTCTCCTGATGTATTTAAATACAAGCAATCTATTTATACTGTTTTTAAGACTAGATATCAGGACCTTTATCTTGGCATTTTCAAAGCCTTTTAGTTTGATTAATAATTTAGAGCCCACCCAGAGGTCTCCGGCAGTTTGCCACTTCAAGCAAGTACGTACATTTCTCTTGATTAATTTAAAAGAAAAAAAAAAAATCAGTTATGTCACTCAGACTAAAGATCAAATCAAAGAAACAAATTCCACCTGGCTCCTTTTAATGAAAGGTCCATTTTCAGTGAAGGTTAATGTGGTAGGATTAAGACAATGTTAGCAGGTGCACGAGTACAAGCATCTGACAGGAGTTCAGTGTTACCATGCATAGCCATGACTTATATTGTCTACTACAGAGCTAAACTTTGAACAGATCAACTTCAAATAGAAACATCTTTTAAAAAGACCATCCATATCAAACTCAATGTATCAGACATTTAACAGCTAAGAAGTGATCATTGTATCTAGTGTGAGGCATCGCTGCCCATGGCAGGCTGGTTGGAACTAGATATTCTTTCCAATCCTAACCATTCTATGATTCTATATTACACTACAAACAAGTACAGGAAAACAGCTGATCTTCCTTCCCCCACATCCCACCCTGAAAGGGTCCTGGCCAAACATCTATATTAACTTTTAATAACAATTAGGAGGTTTTTAGTTATTTGGAGAATCAAAATGGATCATCTTGATGGTCTGGGATCAAAGAAGAGTTATCCAATAGGGCTTGATATTTAGAAGAAGTCTTCTTGATTTATATCTTGCTATCTTAAATGAAACAAGTGGAACACACAGAAGTAATCATCATTGTGTTCATGTATAACTAAGAATGACTCTTAGAGGAAAAGCAATAGGAACTGCTGCACTGCATTAAATGAGATCTACAGAAAACACCACCACCACTAAAAACTTCAGGGAAGTAAATGAGAACTTGTGTAAAGCAGATAGGCATGGGATGACCTACTTCTCAGTTGCAGACTGGTTTAAAACCTGATAGAGCAGATTAAGCATCCATTTTATAAATCTATTGCAAGTTCATATATTACTGACATCTACAGATTGGAATGGATTACAGATGTTGTAATTTGTTAGATACACCACCACAAATGTTTCTCAAGTCTACAAGTTCTAGGGCTACAGAATGAGCAGCAGCTGTCACTCCTGTTGATCATATGTCTTTGCAGCTCAGTCACTTTTAAGGTCTTAGATGTACCGTTTCTGTACATCTGTTGTCAGGTGGCCTGCAGCACCTCAGAGAAACCAAGGCAAAGATACAATTAAGTGGTTGTAATTGTAAAGCCATTCTAAAATTCAAAAATTTGCAAATAAATTCTAAAATGTCAAAAGGATTTTGGAAGCATGCCTGCTATTTTAAATCCACCCTCACTTCTTCAGGTCTGACATTACTCTAGTAATGGTTTGGATCACAAAGCCAAATTTTTTAATTCTGAAGTACTGCACCTTTCTCGGCCATCTGAAGCCTAGCTAATGAACAGAAGAGAAACCAGTCAATGGCCTATGTTAGACTCTGCACTTTGTTCTAATCAGGTCTTTTGAGCAACCCAGCTCAGGCACTGCAACATCTCAAAACAATGTACCATTCTAGTTCTGGATTCATTCTACATGTTCAGCATTCAAGTGAGGCACTCAAGTTTGACACCATTCGTAACACAGATTACCTTTTTTAGGTGTCTTTTTTTCTTCCTACGGTTTGAGGCTGAAAAGTTTTGGGAAAGATCAAGGTTCTTGTTTCTGCTCCCAAAACAGCATTAAGAAAACCCCAGTGTTCTAAACCACAATGCTACATATATCAAAAAAACCTGCAAAGGGAATAAAACAAGCAAGTACCCTAACCACAGGCCTGGAAGCAAATCCATTTTGCTTTGTTTCCCACGGTCCCTCATCTCTTGTTTTTCTGGAAGTATAATACTCTGTCCCAGCTTTACAACGATGGGTAAGAAGTGTTTTCTCTCCACATACTCTACGACCTAGTGGAAAGGGTGTTCTCTTGGTATGTTTATTTAATTTGTGTCTCTTCAAGTTCGGGATGCATTCCAATCACTATATTATTTGTGAACAGCCTTACCACTGAACTGAACTGTAGACCTCATACTTCTCACATTTTGAGCTTCTCTAGGAGTTGGAAAAAGCACTTTACTACCTCAAGTTAGAAGACAAAAAACTTGGGCTAGAGAAAGATCAGTATCTTCCAAAACAGGTATTTCCATGGTGTAACTGGGTAGACATTGAGGAAATTAAGGTTCAAGTTTAAAGGACATTAAGAAAGGTAAAGGCATCTATATCTCATCCTAGCTAAAAATAAAAGCAACATTAATCACAGGACTGTTAAGAAGCTTCAGAAGAAACAAACTGCAGAATATGTACACATCAAAGATTCTTCTGGAAATTACTATTTTAAACACATTTAAAATGTAGTAAAGTATATTTAAGATCAATTATGCTTTGCTGTTTTGGGTTGTATAGGAATTATTTTGCCTTTAAAGAGAGTTCACTACCCAGACTGATGAACAATAAGTGAAACTGCCACCAGTGTTTCCCTGTAAATACACAGCATACTGTCCATCACCATCCTGCTCAAGCTATAGGCTTTCATAGAACGATATAATGAGCTTCCACCAAAGAAAAATTGCTCAGTTTAAAGGTGTGTCATGCAGTATAAATGGTATTTATACCATGGTATTTATACAGTCACAAATCATCCGCTGCTCAGGGCAAAATTATTTCTTTTGTACACATAGGCACATCAGCAAAAGCATTTATAAAATCAGCATATAAAATAAAAAGCTTACTTTGACCACGTAATTGAACCTTCTGATGTCCTGAATTGCACTTGAAAAGTCTAAGCGATTAAAAGCTTCTCCCAAAGTGCAATAGCCATGTCTCTGAGAAGAAGAATAAACACATTTTAAATGGAGAGAAACAAAGATAAAATTGAGGAAAATATTCAATAAAGCACTCTGCTCTGCAACTGATGCTTATGTATACTGTGCTCCCTGGAAATATAATGGATCTGGACTAAAGATTTATTTAGTTTCTTGTAGAACAAATGAAACCAGATACGCTATTTGGAACTAACAGGTGCGTAGGCAATATTACTTGACAGCAAGGCCTTTAAATTCATACTAATCATGCAATCTCTAATCACTGCTATTTGAGTGCCCTGGGAATCTACTCTACTATTGCATGGGCACACACTGGTACTCTCTTCATAGCAATCACATTCCCCATTTGCCTCGGTACAAGGGAGAGTTGTTTGTACAGCAGCCTGAGCTTACAACTATAAGCACTAACTGTCTGAGTTTATGCTCATATTTGAGGGTAAGAACACAGCTACTTGCTCCTGGGACTGGAAAAACAAATAGTCTCAATGTCTAGAATTTATTTTCTGTGTGCTAAAAGTTTAGGTACAATTTTTCTTAGGTACCAAGAGCAAAAGCAATTGCATTTTCTTTTGCTACTTCTGCACAGGGGTCTTAAGGGGAAAATGGAAGTTTCAGAGGCTCTGTGGAACTACTTAAGGTGGTAGTAGCAGCCTGAAATGACATGGGATCACATAAGCCAAGTATAGTTAGAGCTACAAAGTCACATGCGTGACTTGGAGTGAACATAAAGAGGCTAGAAAAAACTTAGAACTGGTGACACAGATACCTGCAGAGCAGTGTGCTAGTATGGCTTATCAGCCCAGCAGAGGAGAGGGATAAATAATTATTTGAACTTTATTCCTACACAGACTTCCTCAGTGAATTATGTGATGAAAAGATGGCAGTACAACTTAACCCAATGAACTCCTGCAACAGGAGACAGTTAACTATTCACTGCAGAGTGGAAGTAATTGCTGCCTATTAGTTAATGACTGAATTAATGATTGCACTGCTTGCTCATCCAAGTTAATACACCTGAGATCCAAGCATGCTGCACACTTACAATATGCACAACTTGGCTGGTCAAGAGCAGGAATCAGCACTTACAGAAAACAAAAGTAATGTTGAAATTTAAATATTTGTGGTTGTTCTCTGGCTGAACAGTTACACTTAAACACATTAACATGAGAGGTGCATTTCCTTGAGCAGATGGAAGGAGATTTCTATGAAAATTCAGCTCAATTTTTCTCAATGTAGCATTATGACAAAACAACTCAAAGACTTCATTTCAGCTGTTTAGATTTTTTGAGCTTGTTTAGATTTTCTTTATTTTCAGTGTTCTCCCATGGCAAGTTTCACATGTTTATCGAGACCTTCCTACCCTTGTAATTTTGCCCTAAAATTCAGTATCCAGTTTGAAAAACAACTTTCCTAGTTGTGAAACAGCCATTTCAAAGTCAAGACAGATTATAACCTGCAAGGAAAATTACAGCCCCTCTGAATTAGTTTCAGATTAGTTTAAATGGTTGCTCTCAATTTTCTGGTTCAAGTATGCTCATTCCTTGCTACTTTTCATTCTGCTACTTAACTTTTAACTTTTTACTCTAAGCTTTTGAATTTACACAAATACTTGGAAAAGATTAATGATTAATTCTAACCATCCCTATTTTGTTGATTAAGAAGCACAAAGATTGTAGGAATTGACCCACTGCATGTAGGACTTACCTCCCTGGTGCTTTCTTTATGAACATAGATCCACTTTTCACGATAAAAGCCTAAAACAAAAATATAAACATTTTTAGGCTTCTACTTTAGAAAGAAGTTGAACAAAACAGACCATGCTCAATAAAATGCTTCATAAGACAGGAGAGACGGTAGAACAGTTTTAATGCAGGAAGTTTATGAAGGCTGAAGAGGATGACTACAAATTTTCAGAAGTTACGTACTTCAAAAAATAAAGGAAGAATTAAGTAATTTTATAAATCAGACTTGGCACAGAATTGGCAGATATAGCACAACTTCTGTCACGTGTGTACCAACAACAGCCAATTTCTCCTACAAAATGCCTGATCTTTTTTAACCCAACAGGCTCCTTAGCACTTAACACAGTAAAGAACAGAAATAGGCAACCTTTTCATTCCTGACCACTCTACCCCTCTAATCTGTTTTCTTCTCCAAAGGTGCCTGCTCCTTTTTCTTGATTGAACTAGTTGCAGAATACTGCAGGGAAGTCTATTACACAAGACTAATAAAGGCACCTAGGCAGACCTTCAGCTTGCAGAAGTCTAGTATGTCAACAAATGAAAGCATGCTCTTAAATGTAAGCCACTTGAATCTTTTGAAAGCCTGGGGAAGCTTGCAGCTTTCTGCAAGACTATCTCTGTTAGAATTTCAGGAATACACAAATAATGGAGATAATTCTTCTTCCAGAAATTCAATACTGACGAAGTCTTTACCAAGAGCTATAGGTATTATGACAATATGTATTCATTTATTAACTGATTCTGGAGTTGTATCACTAATCGGAAAGCTGCTTTTGTAAGGAAAAGCTCCAGTAAGCATCCAGAATAATTTAATCTAAAACTAATCCACAAAATAGTGGTTAGTATCAGAAGACATTTATTATTCAGGAATTACTATGCTTAAATGAATTACCTTTCGCTCTTCAGGGAAAAAAAGAAAAGGGGGGAAAAAAAAGCGCCAAACCCAGGAGATGATCAATGCCATAGTTCAAGTAAGACATACCACTTTTGACACCAGAATTTGTTGCCAATCCAGAAGTAAACATAGAAGGCTACTCTATAGATGAACGTAAATGAATGGCTATTACACAATTTTGCTGAACCTACAGAATTCTTTAAAATGAATGAAAAACCAGCCTTACATTGCATGTTATTCGTACAATGATCTTTTTTCCTTTTCTTGGCTGCAAACTCACAATCTTCAGTACTGTATATTGCTTCATCCTCATCATCACCAGTTATGATGCTGAAATAAACACATCTAATTAGAACAGCAGTGATTACATATTTAAGATGCATACAGCTTATAATCCTCTGCATTAAAGTTTGCCAGCTGGAATAAAAGTTATATTTTTGATGATGTTCTACCTGGTGGTCTATAGCAACACATCTTACAAGAGAGCTGTCTTGTTCTTTTCTTCCCAGTGGGGTTGAATTTTGTGCTAAAATTATTAAATACACAACAGTATCTTCCTAATGAGTACCTTAATAAGTCATTACTGACATTTAGGAAGGACCACTAAGGAGACAGTACTAGCTGGATATCTGCCTGTCTGCAAAGCTCTGGTGTACAAAAATTATGTGAAATGGACCAAGCCTTGAAAAACTGTGTACACAGGTAAAAGTCAGTGCAGAATTATTGCACATCCTTGCACAGGCAGAAAGCCAGCAAAGACAGACATCCTTCTTACCACCGTCAACCTGGGGGCAAAGAAAGTATTTCTTTTAACAAATGCCTAAATCACAACACTGTATGTAATGCAGATGTTAGACTCCTACGTATGCCACTCCTGACAGTTAACTATGAAACCTAACACTGAGGACTATACTGCATAATTATATGAATAGTGTGAGTGTGTGTGTGTATATATATATACACACACACTTATACACTTACAATATATATAAGATATATATATATATATATACGCACACACATAAAGAAACTGTTAAAAAAGTTTTGTTGGCTAAACTACCCTTTCTAAAATCCATATACATTTAAAAACTGTCTCTGATACATAAAGTCTACAGTTTCGGAAAGTTTTGCTTCCCATTTTTGCAGATAATTACAAGGACCAGCAATACAGATGAGAATGGGTGTTCATTTTTCTAGCACTGAGAAGAAAGATACTTCATATGAAGGCCACAGTCTTGCACAGCTAGCCAATATAACTAAAGGTATGAAGTAGTGAAGTCTGAGGTAGTGTAAGACTATTTCATTTCCCCATTATTATTCTTTACCCAGAAAGTTATATACAAAACTCCTCCCATTCATTCTTATTTTTTTAATCCGAATTTGTCAGATGAATCTAATTATCAATGTTAGTTTGAACTTCAGATTCCACTAGCAACAGCTGAACACTAAAACTGAATGACACCAGTTTATTCAAAAATAACCTGTATTTGGGAATTAAGTGGCAAAAATCAAATTCTATTAGCCTATGCTACTAGCTTTACAGTTAAAATTTTCAGGTTTGAACCATCTGTTAAAGAGGATGACTAAACAACACTGTAAAAAAGCCTTGCTTTTTTCATTGCTCTGATCAGTAAATGCTAGCTCAGCTCAAAAATACACAAGTTGAGAAGATTCAGAAATAGAAAATTGTTTTTATTTTAGATTTACATCCTGGGAAAGAAGCTAACATACCTCTGCATCCAGACAGACCTCAATACAAAGTGAGGGGCTTAGTTCATGTCTTACCATTTTTAAAGCAGAGGATAGAGACTCAACAACTTCATTAATCTGTGCAACACTGCCAAACATTGTATCTGGTCAAACAGCAGAAGAGTTTGAACAAAAGCAACTGGCAACTAACAAAAGCTGAATATCAACACTGACAAGTTACTTTGATTACATAAGAGTCCAATTCATCAGGTTTCTTCCAAAACTATCACAAATGAATTCCCTTTTAAAGTTCACTATAATTATTAATTTAATTATGTTTTTGCATATTGACAGCACCACCATGTCATGTGAGAAGTTACTGCAGAATCTGAGAAGTTGCTGCAGAATCAGAAATAGAGTCCAAAAACCAAATAGTTTTATCATCCTAACAACAGACAAGATTGGAGAGCTATGGCCTGATACTCTGCAATACAGGGAGAACAAACACACCCATTCGCATTGATACAGTGCAATGGGGAGAGTGGGGGAGGCAGCATTCCTGAAGGCCTGCTTTAAAAGAGGAAGGTTAATCTGGCAGGATTCCTTCTTTTGTTCCCACAGAGGAGAGGAAGTGTCCCTAGAAAGCAAATCAGACCAGTAACATTCCTGAAGTGATTTAAAGCTCCTCTCCCCGCCCCCAATAACATGCACTTCCTCAAGCATCAAATAAACAAGCAAGGCAGCTTAAGGACAGTTAATATAAGGAATTTTGAGGATGAAGAGGGCTATTTCATACACCTCTGCTGACATTCAAATTCAACTGTGACATTCCTGGAATTTTTCATGTCACTTTAAAGATGAATTTAACAGTTCTCTCTGAGGATCTTCTCGTATGAGGCTTTACTTGTTCATGTTCTGTCTCACTTTATGTGGAGAGTCTTTCGCTACTTATCTGTAACCATCACTATTCTTCTCAACAAATTTTGAGTTTCTTACCATGAAAACAAGGGTGCCACAGACATCATGAGAATGGGACAGAAATACAGGCACATCCCCAGAATCTGTTAGCCTTAGTCATCTGTTAGCTATTAGTAATCATAGCTGCTCAACCATTTCCAAAAGCAACCCCTTCCCTCTCCCAACCCCAAACACCAAGCTAAGCTACAAGAAACCAAATCAAGTGCTGCATCTGCCATATGGTAGAACAGAAGCCTTAATTTAATGTTTTTACCATAATACTGCACATTACGTCTGAGCGTACCTGGAAAGATTTAAATACATATGTAATACTGCCAATTCACAGCTATTCTTGCTTTCTTGTCTTGTTGATGCACTTAGGAAATTATTCTCAAGCTTACAAAAGCAAAGTACCTGGTGTCCTTAGAACTACAACAGCCTACATAAAGCATGCAAGAATTCTGGCTTTTTCAAAAAAGTAATTTCATAGCATTATTTAACCTCTTCGTATGACACTTAAAATGCTGGAAAACTAGACAGGGCTATCTGACCCTTGCTTCTTTTCTCAGGGAAGGAATGCTCTCAAGTCATGCAATTACCTATAGAAGCACACTAAGTGTTTTAGAGGAGACTGAAAGCCTTTTACAGCTTGACCCATAGAAAATCCTGAGTTGCACCAAGTAACCTTACAATATATTTGTCAAATGCCAAAATAATCTAAAACTAGATTCAAATCTAAGGACTTCTTTCCAGTGCCTAAACCACTTTTCTGAACACTGTGTCTCACTTACAGAACTGGACAACAGACACCAGACCCAGATGACTACCCTGCCAGCTCAAGTAGCTCATACGAGCCTGACACACAAAAAAAGGAGTATCACCATCATGAAAATCTAGTCAGAAATACAGTCACATCCCCAGAATCTGTTAGCCTTCCTTCCAGAAATCTGGAAAGCTGCTTGGTAAGTAACACAGCTGTTCCACCATTTCCAAAAGCAACCCCTTCCCTCTCCCAAACCAACTTTAAAGTGACATGAAAATCTAGTCATAGATTTTCACAGAACAAAAATAGTCTGGTTCTCTCTTTCTTTTACCTCCAAGGAAAGCATAAAACCACTTTACTCCTAAGTTGCAGGCTACTGAGAAGTATTTACATACAATTCTGTAAGGCAGTGCTTGTTCTCTCTCCCCCACCAAGCTTCAAGGACTCAGTGCCACAGCACTGGAAATAAGTACCTGTGCTATAATTTATAGGCACAATTTGCAGGTAGTCATGCCCAGGATTCAGCCCACAGAGCGTGAATGAGCACTGCCTCAACCACATTTTCAGCTCCTGCATACCTTGAATACAAGGCACTCTCCACTTGTTACATACAATTAATTATCCGAATAAGAGCTACAGAACTGAGGGTCCCATTTTTCCCACCTCAGTTTCCATATACAGAACTAATTTAAAGTGTAAATATTGCAGCATTATTTCAAATTATTTAAATTGTTCCTGCATAAGTTATTCTGCTTGTTCAAGCATGGTTATCATTAGGTCCACCCCTTTTTGATTAATTCATCAAATGGATTCACCACATCAGTGGATGACTAAGATAAATATTTCTATTTTAATAGAAACATATTCTTCCAGTAAGTTATTTAGTTATTTACATCTTGAATGTTAATCTGTGAATCTGTTTGTGATATGACCTCCTAAGTTTCTGAAGACAAAATATTTGTAATGGATAAAAGAAAGTTTGGCAAGTAACTAGCTATACTTTCTCTCACAGGAGACAACAGAAGTAAAAGTAAACAGTGTTTCAGTCAAGTACATAGCTTGAGTTTATTTCTTTTTAAAGGAAAACTGCCATAACTGTTCCCTAGAATGAAATACTCAAATACTACCTTTAGCAATGATTCTACAGACTATTTTGGTGAAAAATATTATTCACTAATGGGTTAGGACAGCCAGACTAGCATACACCATGATTCTCTTCACAGGGCAGTTTAGGAAGAGACAAATAAGTATTTGTGTATTGTTTACTACACTTCTTCCACAAGGAAGGAAAAATTTTATCAAGCCTCATTGTTACTCAGTGCTGCATCATGTTCACAAATATCCTAAGCTGAGCTGTCTATTCAATATACAGAGACAATTGTTTCCAAATAGCTTAAAATTGTGCAGAGAACCAGCCAGCAAGACACAGTACACTACTGTACTTCAATGCAAAGCCCTGCACATGGGACAGAAGAATCCCATGCCCAGGTATGTGCTGGTCACAGACTGGCTAGGAAGCAGCTTGGCAAAAAAGGAGCCAGGGGTCTTGTGGATAACAAGCTGAATACAAGTCAGCAGTGTGCCCTTGTGTTGTATAAGGTCAACTGCACCCTGGTCCGAGTCAAAAGTGTATCCTGCAGACTGAAAGAAGTCATCATCCCCCTTCATCTGACATGAGAAACTGCATCAGGAGTACTGTGCCTGGTTTGGGTCGCAAGGATACAATAAAACATTGTCATACTGGAACAAGTCAAGTGAGGGGTTATCAAGGTGACCGAGTACTGGAGCACATGACACACGAGGGTAAGAATGGAGCTTGTTCAATGTTGAGGTGGTGGTAGAGGGAAACCTAATCACTGTCAGTATCTAAGGGTACGAATAAGATACAGCTAGACTTTAAGGTTAGAGGAGGTGGGCAGTAATAAATCAAGTGGTAATGGACACAGTGTGTGATAAAGAGAAATTCTTATGAGATTGGGGGAGTGGGTACAGCACAACAACCAACAAACAAACAAAAAAAAAAAAAAAAATCACAGTGAGGGTAATGGAACTTAGAACATGAATCCAGAGGATTTCCATTTTTGGAAACGCACACAGCTCAACAGGGCAAGGCCTCATACAACCTAACCTAAATTGGTCCTGCTTTGTGCTTGGACCAGGTGATAGCCAGATGTCCTTTCCACCCTAAACTGTTCTATAATATTGTGCAAATAGACGTTAATTGCTGTTTAGCAGCAAAGGTTAACTCATAGATCCAAAGTTCAGTTAAAGTAATAGATACGAAGTTCAAGTTGAAGTCATAGATCCAAAGTTCAAGTGGCAGCAAAATTATTCCCAAGTAGAGCTACTTTGCCAAGAAGTACCAATTTCAATTCTGTAGTCTAAGTCCAGACAGTATAAATTTTTAACTGAATAGACATAAGCAGCATAAAATTTAGAACAGGGCCACAGACTATGGTGTGGTTTGGCTTTGCTAAGTAAAAGGTGGGCAAGATGAAGATGGGGAACTGCTATAGATGAGGGCATCTGCTGTACACTAGGTTGGTCCCAGAGTCTGAGATTCTGGCAAATTAGCAAACTAGCCTAAGAAACCCAAATTGTGAAAGCTTTTTTTGCCCCCAAAAGCACTTCATAGCCAGTCTCTTCAAATTATTGTACCTATTTAACTCCTGAACTCTAATGCTCATCTTTCCAAAAAAAAAAAAAAAAAAAAAAAAAAAAAAAAAAAAAAAAAAAGAAGTGAAAGAAGTGACAACTCCAGAAGAAACCATTAGTAAGCTCTCTCAAGACTAAGAGGGGAAAAAAATAATCTAGTATTCTTGCTAGAAGAAGCAATAAAAATACCTCATTTTGATCTCTGAAAACATATATATACATATATTTCTATAGGATCAGAGGAGCAAAGGTCTTAATGTTATTCATAAAGACACTGATCATTTATGTCGAATTGCCAAACAATATTAATTGAAGCCTATAAGTACCTAGTAACTGCAAATAGCTATGAAAATTAAGTTAGATTTCCTTTCATTTGCCAACTAATTATTAAAGATACATGAAAGAGGGAAGAAAAGATTTTTTCAGGTGTATTTGAGGCCACTTTTATGGTGGAGGCTTACTAAACACTCTTCCAGACAGTGCAGTTTTTTTTGTATCCACAGTGGCTAGACTGTGTAGAAAAAGATCACACAAATAAGATCACACAAAATGATGTGATAACACAAAAAGGAAAAAAAGCATTAAGAAAACAAGAGGTCAAGAAAAGCTTAATAATAATTCTTCTCTGCTTGATAACCTTCTTGAAGTTTATTTTGCAAATTTAGAATGTACAGGTATACAGCTACAGCAAGCCCTAGCTTGCCAGTAAATTCCCTCTGAATCAGATCAGTTACTGTATCATTTACTGGACTAACAACAAAACACTGAATGTTCCCTTTCCTCATTGTGAGCACATTATGCTGGAAGTTAAGACCAAGAATGCTATCTCTGAGAATTACTTCTTCGTGGAGAAACCAAGTAGAAATTTGTTTGGATGGAGCTACTGATAATCACAATATCACACCAGCCTGTGGGCATCTGCCCCAAGTATTACTTTATTTAACTAATATCTTTCTCACCTGTTCTACAGGAACATACACAGTCATATGTTGTGTTACAGAATTACCATAAAAATATGATTACTGTGTATTTTGGGTGCTTTAAACAAACAGTCCTAATCCAACAGTCAACAGAAAGTCTTCATTCATTTCCAGGCAACACTTCAATATGCCTGTTGCACTTGCAATTTGTAAGTATCACTTAGCTTTAATACTTGACACGGTTCGGGGTTTTTTTTTATTTTTAAAGACATACAGCATAAGATGGGATCCATCTGCCTAAAATAAGCAACTTGCAAAGCAGTGACAAGAGGCAGAAAATCTCCATAGGGGTCTCCTGTCTGTCTAACTGAACTAAACACATGGTTGCATTTGTATACTTCTAGCATATGCAGATGATATCATCTACCACAAACATTTGCAGTCTGAAATTAAGTCAATCTTTGTCTTCCCACCTGCTATTAACTCACACAGAAACACTTTTTTTTTTTTTTTTTTGAAAAGAAGAAAACCAAACTTACACAGTGTGACTGATATCATTCAACTGATTATTCCCATCCTCAAGCACAGGACTGAAGGGTTCACATCGTTTCCATCCATCTTCTGTTTTAACCCAGCTCCATCCAGGGGATCTCCAGTCTTGCCCCAAAAATGGCATGGTTTCTGTAGAAGCAGCAGTAAGATTATTTGTGTATTGTATTGTGTATGTAATTATACAGAAATTGCAAAACTTCTGTGGATATTTCAATTTTCTGTTTAACCTTTAAAATATATATA